ACTCATCAATGAAGGTGACAGAAAACACTGACTCATCAATGTGGCGTAAACCCGCGCCATATCCGGGCGAACGCGGATCCGATCCGAGTCCTGAAGTTCTCGACCTAGACTCACGAGCCGCGGAAACGGCAGGATCTGGTCTCGGAGTTGTGTAATGCATCAGGGCTGGGCTCAGTACTTGCACTCCGATTAAAGAAACCTAGAACTGGCTCTGCCCGAACTCCTGTTCGTGAGCTCAAACCTTAGTCCAAACATCTAACTCATCAAACGTATGCATAGAATACAGTTTTGCTTTCAGCTTGGTGCGTGCGTCCAAGTGACCGTTGTGCAGCCGTCAGGAGGTTTGGTGTCGTAACGCGAGGCTGTTTCATTTTCTGTGTGAAGGGAAATCGGATGGTGTTCAATCCAAATCGGTTTGGCAAACGCGAAGTCTCCCCTGGTCAACTCGTGGCGCTGCAATGTTCAGCCAAAAGTCCTGTTTACCAACGCTATAAACGCAAGTCCTGCCGGGCTTCACTTGAAGAATACGTGCCTTACGAACTAGTATATGTTGCCTGCGGGTTATTGCTGTTGTTGCTTTGTCTTCCAGATGATGCTGCTTTGGATGTCCCGGTTGCCTACAATCATCCTCGCATTCTTGCAATGCTGGTTGCCATGGTTACCTTTGACACCGCCGGCGTCGTTTCCATCGTCGAATCTCGCACAGATCCCCTCGGCCAACGGACCGGATGGCCGTTGGAAGGTCACGCGCTTGGGCGGGGGGCGGTAGTTTGACCCACGGAGATCTTAAAACTATAAGACTTAGAGGCGCTACAGGAGACGGGGGGGGGGGTAGGGCTTTGTATGTACTCACTTGTGTCAACGTCAAATTTCGAGGTCGCCAGGTCATAATCTTTGGGTATCAAATAAGGTCAAAGTCAAACTACAGATCAGTGTCAGAAGTGATATGAGGCCTCATCATCCAACCATTTTTAACCTAGATGCCTCTTTTATGCAAATGCTACCGGTATTGTTTCAGGTCAACGGTCCTATCTTACTTTCAGCTCACGATAACCGACAACTTACGGGATTGTTTTGGCTGTTCTGAATCTAAATAAGCACTAGGGATTACGCCAGGCGGAAAACTTATAAAAAGGTTGATCGGGATAGTTTTGGCTCAGTGACCACCTATGACCTTCTTGAGGCCCAAATAAGATGTCAGCTGGCATCCCCGTGTTCAAGAACTGAGCGTCAAAAAATTATCCCATAAGAAGCAGGTAGGTCTTGACATCGGCCTGACCTTCGTGTTTGGCCCAAGGTCAGCGGAATAAGTTGTGATCCTATATTCAGTTGTCTTGCAATCATTTTATGATGAATCGGACCATGCCTCTGCCTTAGCGTCTTCTATAAAAAAAAGTTCAGAAAACGTGCCTTTATCTCGTCTCTTGACTGGTTTGGGATATCTCACATGTCGCACTCACATCGACCGACCTTCCAAATCCCGGGTACATTCATCGAACATATATTAGCGTTCACACATACGGCTAGCTACGACCTCCAAAACGAATCATGTTCTATGTAGCCTGGCTTACGCGAACGGAGACACCGTCCAATCCCGACCATATGTGCAGACATCGCAACATATCTGCACAATTGCTGAAGAACACGCAAGCATAGAGGGAAGTACGCCGCAGTGATAGGTAATACAGACGAGGGCGATGTACGGAACAGCAGGCCTGCTTTAGACGCCGACTTTTGATGAGCGCCGCGTCTGTCTGTGTCCCCACACCGGTATGATGGTAGGGTGTGTGTGCGTGTGTGTGTGAGCGTGTGTGTGCGTGTGTGTGTGTGTGTGTGTGTGTGTGTGTGTGTGTGTGTGTGTGTGTGTGTGTGTGTGTGTGTGTGTGTGTGTCTGTGTGTGTGTGTGTGTCTGTGTGTGATGGTCGGTATGTGTTTGTGTTTGTGTGGGGGGGGGGGTTGTATGTGGCAGTAGGTTGCGCGTGTATGGTTCGTGAGCTCATGTGTGCACGGCTGTCAATCCCTGAAGAACTAAGCGGCAGGGCACCCCAGTCGATCAGGTGAACGCGGGAGGCTTGCAGTTTTAGCGCACGTCGCAGGCCACGCAGCGTGAGTTCGCCGTCCTCACTGCCCGAGGCGGTTCAAATACTCGACGGGAGCGGCCTATTTGATCTCGGCGGCTGATTTCGACCCGCCACGCCTGGACGTGAGCCTGAGCAGCATTACCGCTTTTGGACACGCGGCAGCGCAGAGGTGGGGGAGGGGGGGGGGGTGGTGGTAGAGCAGAGCCGGCAATGCCAGCGGGGCTCAGAGCCGACCCGGAAATGTCTGCAGTTCATGTAGCGCACGTCTCCGGCTGACAGAGTGACTGGCAGACCAGATGAGATGCCAGTCAGTCCGTCCAGCCTCCGACTGCACGCCGCTCACCAGCCTCAGATGTCGCGTGGAGGGGCACCGGCCATCTTCTCGAGACTCGCTCGGTGCTCCGCCGGCTCGCGAAGCGAGAGCCCGGCCGGCCTCAGACGCCGCGTGGAGGGGCACCGGCCATCTTCTCGAGACTCGCTCGGTGCTCCGCCGACTCGCGAAGCGAGAGCCCGGCAGGCCTCAGACGCCGCGTGGAGGGCACTCGGCCATCTTCTCGAGACTCGCTCGGTGCTCCGCCGGCTCGCGAAGCGAGAGCCGGCCGGCCTCAGACGCCGCGTGGAGGGGCACCGGCCATCTTCTCGAGACTCGCTCGGTGCTCCGCCGGCTCGCGAAGCGAGAGCCCGGCCGGCCTCATCCAGTCGCCTGTTACAGCATGACGTGTATCAAATGCTGGGCGACGTCTATGGATGCGACACACTCATTGCCCCCATATGCGAATTTGGCAGATTCGGTGCTATCTTCTTGCATTCCAGCGAATTTGCTAGCTTGCGGATTAGCACAGATCATGAGATGTTACACCCACGCAATATTTTTCCCAAAATTCGATTAACTTTTCTATGAGTTATATTCACCATCGCCCTCAAAGGACGTGCAAAATAATGTCGGTTTTTTACTTGTACAAAATATGTTACAGTGCGTGATAATGTCTCATTGCTTTACAATGAAAGCAATGAAGGGGCAACAGTGCTTTTTGCACGGAAAACATCAGCAGACGTAAGAATATGAAGAATAATACGGCTTCGATAAGTCAAATCATGTTCGGCGCAACTTCCTGGTGTTATCGTGTCCGATTCAATTAAGGGCCAAATTTTCAAAATATTTCAAGCATTTGTGCTTCAGCTAGTTCGTGTGTAGAGCGAGTTCAGCTGCTCAAGGCGATACTGCACTGGGCAACGCATTCATTGCTCCGTAATTAAAACAGGCAATCAGCTAATGGTCTGGAACTCTTCAAAGCGCTGTAATTGAATAATATTTTGCGGCCGAGTGTTTTATATCCCACTGGACTAAATTGTTTGTGCAGGTGAACTGTTATCCTATTGTGTGCAGACAATCGCCATGATGGCCTACTGCAACAAATCTCCTCAACCAGTGCAGTGCCTTTAGCAATATTTTGATCCCCCGCAGCGAATTAAAAACATCTGAGGACTTCCTAAGCGTTCTGCGCCGCAGATAAATCGCAGCCTCAGAGCAGATGTCGAGCCCCAGCCCCAGAGCCCCAGCCCCAGCCTCAGAGCAGATTTCGAGCCACAGCCCCAGAGCCCCAGCCCCAGCCCCAGAGCCCCAGCTCCAGAGCCCCAGCCCCAGAGCCTCAGCCCCAGCCTCAGAGCAGGGTCCGAGCCCCAGCCCCAGAGCCCCAGCCCCAGCCCCAGAGCCCCAGCCACAGCCCCAGAGCCCCAGCCCCAACCCCAGCCCCAGAGCCCCAGCCCTAGAGCCCCAGCCCCAGAGCCCCAGCCCCAGAGCCCCAGCCCAAGAGCCCCAGCCCCAGCCCCAGAGCCCCAGCCCCAGCCCCAGAGCCCCAGCCCCAGCCCCAGAGCCCCAGCCCCAGCCCCAGAGCAGGTTTCGAGCGATGGGCTGTGTGAGTGGAAGGCGCCCGCTGCCGACTGTCACCGCCTGGCCGGTCGCTGAGACGAGGGCGCCACAGCGCCGGCCGGCAGCGCCGCCAGCGTGCTCAGACACCGCCGCCCACCACAAGTCGGCATCACCGCAGGGCTCAGTGCAAAGCAAACGTGCTGTTCGTCACATCTGAAACGGGACAGGTGAGGGCAGCGCATGCGGGCGGGACAAGCTGACACAGAGCACTTCAATGGCATTCAGCGCCACCCCGTGACGACAGCGGACATGCACACCCCGAGACAATAGTGGACACGCGCGCCACGAGACGCCTCACACACGCGCCGGGCAACGACAACTTGCTAAAGCTGGCTGTTGCTCGGCCCAAGTTAGCCTTTGGACAGAGCCGAGCAGCTGAAGGTGTCGAGACGACGATTCGCGAGATAGGCGGCGGCGGCTGTGCGCAGCTCTTACTGTCACGACACGGCTTACACTGTCAGCGCTCAGCTCACACTGTCGAAGCGATGCGCACACTGTCGAAGCGCTGCTCACACTGTCGAATCGCTGCTCGCGCTGCCACAGCGCGACTAACACTGTCACAGCGCTGCCCACACTGTTCCAGTGAAGCTTACTCTCACACAGCGCGGCTCACCCTGTCGCAGCGTATCTCACACTGTCACAGAGCGGCTATCGCAGAGCGACTCACACTGTTACGGCGTGTCTCACACCGCTCACAGCACGGCTTACACTGTCACAGTGTGGCTTAAACTGTCGCAGAGCGGCTCACAATGTCCGCGAGATTCACGATGTCCCGCCGGCGGTCGGCCCGCGAGGTTCACAAGTCCCGCCGGCGGTCGGTCGCGCCCGCGGTGCCAGACGGCGGCGCCGGCGGCCGGCACGGAGAGCTGTTAGGGCGGGCTGGCCGGCCCGAGAGTCGCCTCCGGACCGGACGCTCAGCGCCGGTAGCCGCTTCTCCCGACACCCACCGTCCGTGACGCCGCCGCCAGCCGTGACGCCATCGCTCATGACGCCCTGCGCCGTAGCACCACGGCTGAACGCGGATCTCTTGAAAGCGGCCGCCCTATGGACACAAACAGCGCTGTTTGTCACGGTGCCACGACGCAGAAAAGGACGGTGCCGGCTGACGGCGCGCTCAAAAGAGCACAGACTGGTATTAGGGCGATGCCTTTCAGCGATGCACACCGAACAACTACATACACCGAGATCAGAGCTTAACACGACAGGGAGACATTGTCGTCCACTGAGCCGTGAAGAGACATTGAAAATAAAAGCGCATCGCATTAAGTGATGCACCCTTCAGCCAAGCGCAATATCAAACGCAAGGCTTTCTCTCCGATCATATTTAAGCTCGTCGAGGCGTCCATTATTCCTCCCTTCCTCGGCTGCAAAGACGTTTCGTTCCATTCATGCGCACATTTTATCGACGGTGCTTCAATCGGCATAATGGCCGTTTTTGTGCATCCAACGACCTGCCGTTTTGCCATCGTCGTTGTCCTTGGCGCTGCGCCAGCTGCCACCATCGGAGGCGATTGGACATAATTGTATGCCACTGCAAGCTGTGTGTAGCGTTTCCAGGCTCTCAGGCTTAGTCTGCTGAATCAAGTCAATATGTGTATCATTCTGTTTCCTACCTCGCGGAAGCTGACGCATGTCGTCTCTGTACATAAGTCAGGCTCAGCTGGCCACTTTGTGCCTCTCTGCCTATTGCCAGTATTGACTAAAATCCGTGAAAAGGCCGTGTACGCTCAGCTGTCCGCTCATCACGTCACTGCTTATCCTTTAGCGTCCTCAATACACACATAACCACCCATCAACTGGATAGGAGCCTTTGTTCCGGGCCGTTGTATTTGTCGAACAATGGTTCTAAACGGTTATCCATCGCTATTGCGTATTTCTCTAAGGCACTGTGCGCTTTGCTGTGATTAAATATTATTCTTATGGGCTGAAACGGTTCGCACAATATGCTGATATCAGCCGTGGCAATCAGCGGGGAACATACTGTCCGAAGGTCGGGATGCTGCTGCTGTCACTTCCATCGGCTTCAGCGGCGCCTTCGATACCCCTGGGCATGGCGTCTTCCTCGCCAAGCTCAGTTGGCACGGAATAAACTCCCAGACAATTCGTGAGCTGCATATGTGACCTACTACAGGTGACACACATCTATTCGTCATCCCCCTCCACACCATTACGCTGCCACGAAGTATCCCCCAAGGTTCATTGTTCGAACCAGCGCTCTTCAGCATCTTCGCAAACGACCTGTCTTTCTACCTGCCTAACGGACGTCTAACATCCCGAGCCGAGATGACCAGCTGCACACCTGATGGCCAGCCATCCTAAAACCTCGACAGGAGCAGACCATCCGTACCGTACAACTCCACATCATCTTAAACTCCTTCAAAATGAATGCAGTCTTGCCGGCACGAGCCCAAACCTTGAGGAAATTCAACCTGGCCATACCAGATATACGTTTACATACGGTATTGGCCATACGTCTGCACAACCTGTGAAGGTGATGCATTTCACTGATTCCACTGCCGGTGACCATACATAATTCACGGACCATGACTGACCATACGTCCATGTGAACATGGTTATATATCTCACGTATCATCATTACTTCACATTACACATTCACATTCGCACACACTAACATGTTAATATAACTACACTGCCTGTGGCATTACTGGGTATTACCACCGACAAATGACCACATTGGTAAGAGCATGTCCCCAACGTCACGAAGGAGGGTACAATGTCATTCTGTCTGCACAAGCCTTGGCCCACTTCACCGCCGAAGCCGGACAGCTTCTAGTCGAGTGGCATGTCCTCCCCCACCCCCTACACCCTCTCTCAGCATGGGACGAGGCAGCAGCTCGCCAGCTGCGCCTGGCGTAGAAGGCGGTGAGTTTCGCAGCCAGGAATGCCTCGCGGGTCATCGTCATGATCAGGTGTCGCCGGTCGTGAAGGCGCTGGACTGGTGCAGTGTGCGCAACCAGTCACCCGCCACGACGACATCGACGCGTTGAGACGCTGGGAGATCCGCGCGCTCCCGCGACAGTTCGCGCGGGCTTCGCCGCAAGTGCCCATGTGACACAGTGGGTGACCCGAGTGACACGCACAGAGCGGTCACGCCTCGTGTGGATGTCACCGCGGACGTCGCGCCTGGTGTTCTCATTCGTCCCGGAGGCGCCTGCCGTCGGCGGTCATCGCCTGAAGAATGACAGGCGAATTGGTCAGACCGCCGGGAGCCACGACTAACAGCGAGTCTTTGTGCCGGCTTACCGTGCTGCGATGTTTAAGGCTGGAATCCTATTTTAATCTCTTCTTGGTTTTGGGTCTTCTGCGTTATATTTCGTCTCATGTTTTGTAACAAATCGTTTTCTTATAATCACGAATTCGTCCAGCATATGATTTTACTCGGATCGAACATCAAGTGACACGCTGGAAATTCCCGTGAACGCAATGGACTGAGCTGAACCGAGCATAAACACAGCCCATAAGTCTGATATCGTAAAATTTATTAGCTAAATATTTCCGGTATATATCAATTACATGGCGAGATTAGAGATAAACATTTCAAAGGGAATTTATTAGTAGTATTATATACAGCCTTTAAGCCCCTGCCCCTTAAAGCCCCTGTCGGTTCAAGCCTCGTAAGCCCCTGGACATTAGCTGCGAAAGGGTTGACAGTGGAGGGGTTGGTTGGCTTCCTGATGATTGCTTTTCATCGCCGGGTTTGGACGGAAACACCTCTAACAATAGCTATTACTTTGCGAGGAGTGGGTATCCCCAATCCTTTCTTCTTCACCCGATCCAATCAAAGAACATCCCAGTTACATTTGATTGAGAGAATCTTTGCGACGCTACCACCCAGATGGCATCTGTGCGCGCTGAAATGGTTCACATTATAAGAACGACATTGCATTTCCGGCGATCTACCCGTTTGTCAGGCTACAGTGGAAGTGGCTGCTCAGAGGTACAGGCTGGGGAAGCTCTGTGCCCGTGTGCAGCTCTAGTCGGATCGGTGCGTGGACCAGGTGGGTGAGCTGATTGCGGCCTTCATTGTACCAGATCCATGTTAATGAAGCAGATACCGCGACATCTACATGCCACCAATATGGCATATTCATGAACATAGCCCAGATACGTGGACCAGTCGGAATGGGCTGATCGGGGACGTCATCGCGTCAGGCGCATGCTAATGAAGCCGTACCATGGCATGATATACATATGCCGGCGTGAAAAATCCCACAGCTGTACGGCCGAGACCGAAGGTACGCGGAAGCTACTGCACCCCGTGAATTCATAAATTACTTTACCATGCCCAAACAGCATCAGGAAGGTCAGAGATGTTCTGTCTCAAAATCTGGATCGGGCCTCATGACGCCATAAATCAAACGAACACAAAACTTTGACATCCGAATAAAGCATAGCCGTGATGTACGCTCCCTCGGAGCATGTGATGAAGTGCTGTCTTTTGGGAGCAGCTATTGAAAAGCGTCGCTTTATTTCCTTGTGAACAATCGAGTGGTGAACCAATGTCAGGAAACCCCAGAAGAATCCATTTAAAAGCGTGACTTGAAACCGTGAGCGGCCGGTTCACGTTAGTGGGTCCGGAGGAAAGTTTGAAGGACGAGAGGTAGCAGTGATAATAAAGATAAACCAAACTGCAAATATTACAACAGGAATTGATAGAAAGCTGTTAAGCGTCCACTTCGGTTTTCATACAGCAGCAGCTAAAACCGAGTAACACGGTGTCTTGGAACTTTCACTGCCTTTGAATGGGCGCCGAAGATAGCTGGGGTCAAACCTTGGAAGTAAACCAGAAAATTCATGTCATAATGACACAGCGAATTCCATGGCACATCCCTAGTTAACTTGAGCGTCATATTGCTGTTATGCGACACCTAATGTTAAAAACAACAAGGAAAATGCACAGTATAATTGCAGTTTTACATCGATTTTCTGTTTCAGCTGTTTCAATCTCAGGAACAGGAGATCGAAGTCCTTCAAGTCAGTTCATGGAACACATTCGCACTTTTTTTCCTTTCCGGCACACCGAACTCATTTTACCTTGCATCCACAATGATCGGTCCGGAAAAATAAGAGCACCTATGAGCGCTGCTCGTTCTCTTTCGCTCGCTTGGTAACGTCACCTATAGCTTACAGGTGATTTGGGGGATAGGGGCTCGGGCGCCCCCTTTCTCACTTTTCGTATGGGCGTCCTATATCAGCCGAGCTAAAGGGTTCGGGTGCCCCAATTGGCCATTGTACCCATTACGCCAACAAATGCTACCGGCTGCTTGCGTTTTACCTATCAGGCGGAAATGAACAAGAATAAAAACGAATCATCGGAACGATCTCAGGGTACGCTTAGCCCTAGTCCTGCCGGAGGTCCGAGTCCACTACCCACCAGGTTTTCTCATGTAACGAGGACATGCTACACGGTAGCGGGCTGCTATGCCATGTTTGTGGATAAAATTGTAATCCTAACATTCTGAGACAATCAGGGGCCACAGGTCACGTCAGGTTACGGAGGTATCGGGTTATTCTTGAAGGTTTTCACAAGATATGGGTCACTGTACCAGCTATTATGGTTGTGTAATGCGAAGGCTTGGTACTTGAGGCTGATTGTTAACCTCTGACTCGTTAGAGATCAAGCGAGGTAAGAGAGAGTCCTGATTCTCTGTACCCGACCTAAGATCGTCCCCGTTAGAAGATAATTCTGTGCTCAGGGCATTCATATCACATACTTTTGTGATATGTAGGGCTCAGCAGACAGCGTTTATATCGTTTACTCCATAAAATGTTAGGGATACCCATAGATAAGCTTGCCCGAGGTTAGTGACCTTGGCCATTGTCAAAATTTGTGACAGCAGAATTGTGGCAATTATCAGATCACACAATGCTATGAGGCTGGTAGTGAAAGTTGTGCATGCTTTTAAAAGCATAACACATACTGGCACGTAGCCAGTAAGAGCGTTGGATTGACAAGACCTTTCAAATTTTTAATAACCAGTGAAGAGGATGTATAAAGCTACTGGGTGTTCCCAACGCCTT